GAGGTACCTAAGACGTATTAGGATGGAAGAAAACCTAAATTCAGTATTTCTAGTCTAGTATGGTCATGTTCAGTTTTCACAATGAGTCCTGTAATTTAGTGCATTACTTGAAAATCAAAATGGAAATATTTTTATATTGTTAGCAATATAGACCAGTTGAAAGCCTGTGAAATACAAGTATTGAGGCAACAAGGGAAGTTTTAAATAAAGCACTTTTGGGACGTTTTTTATTTAATATGGCTTATCTGAAATATAGCGAATATTGATTAAAACATGGAATAAGCTTGCAGTCAGGCCTCTCAAGGTATAATGAGATGTGGTTAAAGGGGTACTGGGCTTGTATTTAATCTGGTACATGCTAATTAGATGATGTTTTCAGTTGTCTTTCTGTAAAACAACTAATGCTCTTGGAGGATGCATATTTTTTAGTTTGCTTGTGTATCCTGTATTCTTCCATTTCCTCCCTTCTGTAGTCACAGTGACCAAGATATTTTCTTTTTGCAATGAAAAAAACAACCAATTTCACCTTAACTCAAGACTTATATTGTTTATAGGCTAGCCAGTGAAAGTGGAGTAATTATATTGGTGCAAATTATCTTGTGACCTTCCACAGAAGTAGAAATTTTGTTCATCTCTGTTCTATTTTATTTACACCATAGTTGAAGTTATGGCTCCACCTACCAAGAAAGGAAATGGCACATAATGTGGAAGAAATGGGATGAGGGCAGGGGGTGATCATACAGTCGCCTTAGGAAGCATGGTGGTTTATCAAGCACAGTTAAGTAGGCTGGGGCTAAAGCCATTTGAGCAAGAGCATGCATTGAAGTTCTCCTGTGCATGGCCACAAACTATGAAATGTCTGAAGTTCTCTGGTTGCTTTGTGTTCCAAGGGGTGTGGTTTTGCATGTTACTAAGCCAATTCAGTAACAAGTTGTATTTGCTAGCTAAATTTCCTGTCATTAGCTGCCCCTGCTTTTCTGCACTGGTGTTCACCTATTCCTGTGGTGAGCTGATTCAGAAAGTGAAATTTGTAAGAAGGCAATTACTGTTTCTGTGGTTCACCTCTGTGAATCAGCACATAATAATGTGAGATGCTAATACAGGTGTAATGGAGAAGGTTGGAATGGGAAAAGAGGCAGAAGGAGTAAGACTGGCAGCAGTCATCTGTTAAAACGCTGTAAGTGTAAGTAAGGAGAGGAACACTTGAAAATGTACAGTGTAAAGTGTTAACTATAAAAAACAATTTTCAGTTCTTTGCTTTCAAAGAACAGAGATTTTACTGAAATGGTTGTTGTTGTGTCACAGCTTCCAGCTCCTGAATGTTGTGGGAAAGAGAAAAAGTTGTTTAATTGGCGGAAGAAATTTTGAGGGTGGAAACAATAAGGATCTTTTTGCCAAGACTTTTGTAGTTCATTCTTGGAAGTGGGGGTGAAAACCCAAATTCATCACACTATCAGGAAACTTTCATTCTATTGTTTTAAGCTGTTGTTTCTGAGTACTGACTTTAGGATAGTTAGACTCCTTTACCATTGAGCCAAACTTAAACGCACTGGGGTCGTGAATTAATCTTAGGCGACTTTAGATCTTATGAAAGCATACTGTCTTGAAAATGGAAAGCTATGAAATGGTAGCTGTTGTTAGCTGAGAAGTTACCAGGTATCTTTAGCCTTGAGTTATTAATGGAACTGAAATAAACTCTTATGGCCAGACCTAGTTAGTAATGAGGTTTTTCAAGTAAACATTCTCTTAGGGATGGGAGATGAATTTTGCAGAAGAGTAAAGAGTAAATGATTTTACTTTGTTTTCATCCTGTGTCAGGAAGAGAAGTCTGGATTTAAGTTCTTCATATTTCATATGACTGCAGTGTTTCACTGTTTCTGTCTAGGCAGAAGTTCATCAGTAACACCTCAGTTTCTAGGTATCTTCCATAATTCCTCTTTTTCCAGCATTAAAGTAAACTAGAGTCCACAGTAATCAAGGCTATGAGCAGTAGAAATCTTCCACCCGCATACCAAGTTCTTAATCAGGAAGTTGAAACTGGGTAAAGAGCATGTTTTAAAATAGAAACATCCCAGGAGAATAAACCTGAATCTGTTAGTCTTTCTTGGTTTCCAAAAGCATATCTTTATATTTTCTTTGCAGGATGAGGTACTTTATCCCAGTTGAGAGATCTTATCCCTTTAGTGAACAACTATCTTTTTTAGTGTGACCTCTGTAGCCCCTCACCCTAGTAGTGGTCAGAGCTTTTGTCTTCCAGATGTGTATGTAATGTGTCGAAAGTGTTGCCTCCATTTATTTACTTGTAGGTCATTTGAACTTCTGTAGTACTTCAAATCTGCATGTTACACTTGAGAATCTGGTCCAGAAGACCAAGAAAGATTTAATCCTTCAATGTAGGCCGTGCTTATGGAAAATCAGATTTGTTCACATTGGGCTCAATTTTCTGATTCAAGTTTAATATTTCAGTTTAAGAAAAGTAATACTACTCTTTACAGAAGGATTTTGATGCTCTTGAGAAATCAAGAGCATCAAAATATCAGTAATATAAGTCAGTCAATATCAACTCCATACACTAATGCCATTGGCAATGCAGGATTGCCTTGGAAAAAGGATAGAATCTGCCTGTATGAGATGTTTCATTAAATAACACTTAAGGCAGAAAAACATACCTTTTACAAAATTAAAATAAAGCAACACAAGCTTAGTTTGTGGTGAATCCTAATCTTGGTTAAATGTTGTGATGCTCTTTTCCATCTGCTACTCTTTTGAGCAACTTTTTGGTGCTCTAAACCCCCTTAGAAATCTCATTAATGAGAAGTATCCCATCTGAGTTAGGTATGTGAACCTTCAGGGATCTAAGCAGAAGAGAAAGGGGAGATCCTTTGAATGGAGACACTGAAATTGTTCTTTGGTCAGGTTTGTGAAGGCTGCATTGCAGTAGATTTGCACATTGGTTTGGCTAGACAGTAAGATCCCTTTTTCCATCCCATCTGCTAGCTCATGGGTATTTGTGAGCATATTTGGAACTTGTCTGTTCATTTTTCCCCTCTTCTCACTAACTTTTTAATAATTCTATAACCAAAAGTGTTCAAGGAAACTCATCTTTGCAGAGACCGTAGCCTGTTCCCACAGTGTTGATACTGTAGGATTTGGCAAAGAAGAAAAATGCTGTCTAATCCAGGCATCAACTAAGCTTAATTTTTGGTCAGTGCTACAGCATGTAATTTCTCTCTATGATGAACATATTTATTAAAGAATAAATACCTGATATCATAAATAAGAAACTTCCTGTACAGATTATTTTTATGATTATGTGTCTCTAGTGAATTCATGATGCACTTACCTGCTTCACAGAGGCACACTGTAACTTCTGTCACTAGTTGAACTAATAAGAGAGCAGCTCCTCTCTGGATCTTATTTTTCAGTAAGCACAACTTTATACAGACCAGTAAAAGACTGGTTGTTCTAACAAATTGATTTTATTGAGGACTGTTTCTACTGTGGGTATTCAATTCATCTGGAATGCAGGTTTTGCTTTGTAGAAGCTCATTGCTTAGGCTGTTCAGTATTCACAGTTGTCAGTCTCACTTATATAATCTTCTTCCCCAAGAAGAGCTTTTAAACATTTTCTTCTTTCTGTTCTTGAGCAGCCTATTCTCTAACTAAAGAATCTAATTTAGAAAACAAGGCCATTTGAGGGCAAGTAATAGTACCAGAGATCTATTTGAAGCTTGTGATTTAAGTTAAGAGTCTTTGCTTTCAGGCAATTAATCTTTAGAGACAGAGCAATAGAATACTTCAGTAATTACTGCAACAGTAAAGATTGGCAATGACCTGAGCCAATAATGCCTTTTAATGTGGTAACTTCTAAACTACTAATTGGCCAACCCCCATCTCTTGCTATATTTTGAACCTAACAGCTGGCAGTGGAAAAAATGCTAGTGGTTTGGGATAAAGAATAGGTCCTTCCATTGTTTTTAAGTTCAGAACGCTTTGGAGTTAAGAATATGGTAAAAAACAGCAGTGAAACGTAGGGGAAGCTACTTCTGCCATTATATTATGGCTGAAAAATAAGTTTTACAAGAGTTTTTGTGTTCAAAGTTGTTTTAAAAGATTGTAGCTTGCTTTCTGCCTTTCTCAACTCAGAAAACAATTGATCATTTAAGAACTCAGATAGTTGGGTATTTTCAGACTTCAGCAATTAATGTAAACCCCGGGATCTGTGCTTGCCTCCTTGCTCTTAAGTGCTCCACTTAAGCATCACCAATATGTTTGCTTAGGATGCATCTGAGATTGCAGGTGATCAGGCTGGAAGGACGAAGAATAGTAATCAGTAATATCAGTTCCATTGCAGTATCTTTTCAGTTATCTTGAATCCATCTTGGTTTCCCTGAAGAACTGTCCCTCAGATTTCAGATGGACAGTGAGGGGAGCAGAACTCCAAGAACAGTGGCATGTGTGACTGGCACATGTATACTGGTATGAGGGGCAGAGCATCAACTTGTTTCTTGGGAGGTGGAGCCCTAACTTTGCTGTGTGGAGTGGAAGAAGATTGTAACAATTACAGTGAGTAACTTTGCCATATAAATCAGTACACTCCAGAACACTATTCTGAGGACCAAATCTGTCGTGACAACTAAAATTCTTGCCCTTCTATCACCCAGTTCTTGTTCTGTTTTTTCCCAGCTTTAGTTCTCATCTTCTAGTTTGAATTTGCTAGAGACATACCTTTGGCATTAGATTTGTGCTGACTGGAACTCACCTGTGATTGCCAGAGACCTGTTGACATTGTCTTCTTAATGGGCGTTTAGTTAAACTTGTGCTAGATGTATAAAATAAAAGTAGTGCTGGCTTTTATTTTTTTTTATTATTGAACAAAAATGGTTATATTTTACAGTATTTACTTGAGTTGATATTTGGGTACATTTTCACATGCATAGTCTGTATATACTGTACTTTCTGTAAAGTTGCTTTTTTTTCCCCTTTTTCTCTGCCAAAAGGAATCAGATACACCATCTTGCACAGCTCCTAATGTTTACCAGTTCAGTCTTCAAGCACCGACTCAGCTTATGGCCAGTTTAGCACCCGCATTGCCCCTGCCAAGTGGTAAACCCCAATCTGCGCCTCCGGGAGCCCTGATAATGGCCACCAGTAATCAGGTATGAGCCAGCAACTGTCACAAGTGAGCAATCATGCTGCAGGTGCAGGTCATGTGTGCTGTGCTGTCAGTCTAAAAGCCTCTGAGGATAGCCTTCATAGAGCATGTGCTGGTCTTCATGTGATCATGAAAGTACTTACTGCTGTGTCAGAGGTGTGGGGAGAACAAAGGGTGGGAAAGGGTTTGGAGTAGAAGAGCCTCTCCACAACACAGACACCTAGGAGCAAGTTAAAGGAGGTGTGTCAGGTGTCTGACTCCCTAAGGTGTATTTGAGAATCCTGGTGCCCAGCTGGTGGGATATTTATAGATCTTTAGGCTCTTTAATTTCCACCACCATATAGGTGGTGGAATTGTAAGATAGTTTTTGAATTTTAAGGAATAGTACTGACCTTGCTAGGCTTATTTTGTTGTCTTGATTTAGAATTATTAGATTTGGTTACACTTGTAATATTCTGTAATATATTTTAAAGATAGAGAGCAGAAGATTAATTATGGACATGTGCACAGGATTTTTTACAAAAAAATTTAATGTGTGCATAATTGTGCAGGAATCTGAATGTATTTTGGCTAATGTATCCATTCTGGTATCACCTCAGTGCATCTTTCTGCAAGAAAACACTCCCTCAGTCTTGATAATTAAAGCTATTAGTCAAACATGTCTCACACAAGGCTCAATGCAAATTGTGGGTTGTAGGTTGCCTATGGTAACAAAACAGCTGGTTTCTTTGAAACTTAGTTTTGGTCAGGTTCTCTTCCTACTTCTCCTGTCAGAGTTCTTGGGAATCAAGGGCCATGAGATTTTCTACTTAATACCTTTTATTATTTGATTCAACACTTACTTCATGGCTCTTCAGTGGACACTCTTCTGTTCTCGTCCATATTTCTGTTCCTTGGGAACCCAGACCTGGGCCCAGCACTCCATCTGTGACCTCACCTGTGTTGAGTAGGGGGGAAATTATCACTTCCCTTGACTTGCCTTTGGTTTTAAGCTTTTAATTGACTACACAGATTCTTCCCCTCCTTTCTTTCTCTACTGCTCAGTCCCACATAGGCCAATACCAACATACCTGCACAGGAAATGTATTTGTTAGAAGTTAATAGAGTAGTATATTTCTAGTATAATGTCTGCAATTGAGTATTCACTGGCTAGCGAATACAGTCCAGTCTGAAACTTTTAGAAGTTGTTTTAGAATAAAACTGGAGAGTTATTTTAAGTTAAATTTAATCTAAAACATGAACTTTGTGTAGATTATTCTTTCCTTAACAGCTCTGCTTTTCTGAAGAAGAATCCTGGAGTTAGTTGGGAGGCATGCAGTTGTTAGTACAAAACAAATTGGCATTCAGAGTTTGTCACTTCATGACTGTGGCAATGTGTTGTGTGAATTTTGGATGTCTGCTAGAGTTTTGAATCTTGGAAAACAACTGCTTTGTGGCACTTTTTCTGGCTTTATGTTCCTTGGCTGTCCTTTCAAGTGATTGTTAACTGTTCTGTTAATAGTTTTATAGTACTTCAATGTTTAAAAGCAAGATTTTTTTTTTGTGGCTTTGCTTAACAAAGATCTGCCTTTGAGAATCACATAAAATCAGAAGAATTTCTTGCTACCTGTAGTTTAGAAATGGGATAAAAGGCTATTTCCTTTGAATTTACCAAAAGCTTATATTTTGTGAAGTAGAAGTGGCTTTTTTTGATACAGTTTATGATTGAAGCAGAAGTGGGAAATGAAATCATTTTACCCAGAATACTGTAAATATCTCCTTTCCACTTCTAACTTTCTGGAGCAGGACTGGGCTAGATTAGACTGAGGGCTTTTGTTTTGAGTTGATGAGACTCAGGTAGCTTATAACTCTTAATGAGTGGACTCTACCATCTTAGAGGACTCCTGCCCTGATAGATTTGAACATGTGTCAGACTTTTTTAAAAGCAAGTCTTCTTTCATATTCAAAAAATTTTGAAAGGGACTCATTTGTCTGCATGGTGTCTTCAGCTTTCTCCCTGGCAACTTTTTGCACCTCAGTTCAGTTTGGAAAGCTGTACTTAGGTGTCGAATACAACTCTCAAAAGCAGGACGTGCCAAGAGCATTTGACTGTATTTTGAACAAATTACTGCCTTCTAGGCAAGTTTGCTGCTGTTAAAGCTTCCTGGTATTTTCATTTTTTAAACATGTTTGGTGTGATTACCAATTCTATTTATGTACTGCATAATTAATTGGAGAATTTCCAGGTAGTTTAGGGAGTGATTAAGCTCCTCGCACAGGTCTGTGTGCTTTTTCAGGATCATTATCATCCATCATTTTTCCAAGGTAATCATTCTTCTACTCTGCTGACAGCAGTTTGAAATTTTACTTGGGGGAGCAGAACAGTTTATGAAGCAGTGCTGCCCATTAGAAATAAGCAGGAAAACATGTTGAGATGCATGTCCAGATGAGTAGAGGGGGCAGAAATTGCTTGGTAACTTCCCAAGGAGAGGAGGAGACTACATTCCCTGTTGCTACTTTGAGATAAGTTTAATTCATGCTGGATTACTGTTCACTAGTTTACCAAAATGAAAACAGAAGGAAACTTCCTTTTTGTTAGGTCAGAAGAATTCTTTCTTTTAACTTTTAAGATGCTTTCTTTTTTCCCCCAAAGGGTTAAGTTTTGATTCCAAACCTAAAGCCAGTTAGAGCCAGTCCCTCTGCTGCACTGGCTGGCTTCTGGTGTGTCCGAGGAAGTCTCCAGTAAAGATGAGCAGTGTCTGATTGGGAATATGTTCGTTGCTGTGGACACAACTAGGAAGTGAAACCTTAATGTCAGTGCTGAAATACTATGGTCAAAACCTGTAAAGGGACTTACAACCTTTTTTTTCAGATTATTTTGAGTTTGGCCAAATAAGATAGAACATTTAAACTTACAAACTGCTTTTTTATATTGCATTACAGGTAATTCTGTGGCTAGTGTACTTTGTTTCAGAGTTTGCTTTTATCCAAAACAATTTTTAGTGGTGTTGCTTTGTCTCACTTGTACTGCTGATACTGCTTGTATCTCTGAGATGATTGCTGGAAAGTTCGCAGCGTTGCAGACAAAATTGGTCAGGGACTTGAATCAAAATTTCTTTTAGATGAGTGCAACCAGTAAAGTGTAGCTCACTTGGATGAAGGGTAAGTTTGTAAAGACACATTTTAAATTCATGTCATTGCAGAAATATGCCAAATTCCCTTTGTATATTGAGATACTTCCATGTTTTCAGTATGTCAGCTTCAATTTAGAAATGACTTAATTTGTTCAATGGCATTTTTAAGCTGTTTAGGTACTGAACACTCCTTCATTCAACCAAATGACTTTTTTTTTTTTTTAATTGAAAATGCTGTCATTTAGGGTGGAATAATTTTCCCGTGCCCATGTGTTTTCATAGGAAGTAGACAATAGTTGTCTACTTTGGAAACAGTTTTGATTCAAAATGTCAGACTCCCATCTTGACAAAACATTGGTTTTTAACACATGTATAATTTAGGAGAAGATGATGTTTTACTTCTCTTTTCTAAGGAAAGAAGAGAAGAAAAAATTGGATCCGAGTTTCAGAGGTTTTTCAGGTGAAAACAGTACTAGAGATTTTTCATCTGGGTTGCCCTATACTTACAGAGACAATCTTTGTGGTGTTACCCTTCCGTGTATGGAAGCTGACTTAGCCTGACCAGGCCCTGAATAAGCTAATCTGAGTGCTTACAACAGAATGTTGGGTTAAGGGGTCTCCAGAGGTCTCCATATAAACATCCAGTCGAGCTGTTTATAGGTCTGTATGAAATCCTCTGGCCACACTGGCGGTTGCTCCCTGAGCGCTTTCTGAGTTGCAGGAAAATCTAAATAGTAGTTTATTAGAAACATAAAAAACCCCACCATAAATAGAAGATTTACGCAAATGCAGAGGTTATACCTTCCTTTTGTTAACATAGTACTCCTTTATCTTCCAAGTGTCACTGTAATCGGATTTTTGCTCACAAACTGAGATTGATTTGAATAATCACATATGTATTTCCTCTGCAGACTTTTTCACATGTATTGGTATCACTTCATCATTTGGAAAGGGTTTTCTTACTGTAGTAATAGTTTTCGTATTCCAAATGAAAAGTGAGAATTCTCAGTGAGGTAAGATTTCTCTTTAAGGTCTGAAACTGTCAGTTTTTTGCTAAAAAAGCTATTATCTCTTGTTCTCTGTAGTGACAAGTATGTAGATACACTTCATGGCCCATGTCACAACAGCAGCAAAGTTGCAGTGTGAGTTCTGTCTTCTGGTAGCATTGTTTTGACTCTTGCCCCTCAGTTTTGAAACTTGAGTACTGACAAGATCAAAAAGGGTATTTATTTAATGTGTCATTCTACTTTCTTTACCATGATGTAGTTCAGTATTTGCTGTGATGCTGATGGTACTGTCTGCTGTCAGTCCCTCCTTTTGGGGACTAGGCTCTCTGCTCTCTTTATCTTGGAGCTGCTCATACTAATATTGCCTAACCTGCTGTGAAAGGTGAAGACAACCTTGACCCTTGTGTGGTAGCTCTGCCAGTAATCTATAATAAAGTGAAATAAAATATGAAATACTGAAATAATCTGCTCCCTTGAAGCTTTTATTTTTCCAATTTCTCTTGTGCTGGAAGGTAAGAAATATCTAAAATCTTCCTTGCTTTTCAGCTCTTTTTAGTCCCCATGTTGATTTTCCTTTTCTTTGCTGTTCTTATGGTTGGCTCTATAAATTTCCACTTTTAGTAACAGCAGAAAAAAGTTTGGGCTCATTTTATAAAATCTATTCAGGACTCAAGATTTTATCAGTTGTAGCTGAAAGTGACCTGTAAGTCCCAAAAAGAAGAATCTTTCCTTGCTGTGCTTTGAGCCTTATTTCCTTAGATTGCCAATACTGAACAACTTATTTTGTTTTGTCTCTACTTCAGCTTAGAATTCTAACCCACATAGAAATCTTACCAGGTTAAGAGTACACTCAGGTAGCATGTGCAAGTATCTTGCAGAATCCTATTAATTAATCTAAAGTAATGAGGCTAAATTGCCTAATAATTGGCTTATTGCTTATGTCATCAGACTAAAATGTTGGTTAGGTTATTGTCCATTATTTCTCTGCAACACAATGACTCTATTTCATAAAGAAGTTAAATTTTTTAGTGTATTATGATCAGAAAGTCAGTAAGTGAGTGCTACAAGCCTAAAATAGAGAATTTGGGAATATTGCAGACTTAGTGAAATATTTTGAGAAAGCATGATAGGATATTTAAGGGATACTTAAAATGTTAATGGTACCATAAGGTAGCACTGAATACTACTCTGGTATTTCGCATGAAATGGTTTTGAGGTGTGTGAGTTTGATTACAAGTCTGGTCAGCTGCAGACTAGATTCAGTCATGGCCTTTAATCCTCTTAACAACAAAACAGTAAATACGCGATCTTTCAAAACTGTCTTATGCCATTTCTAAGCTTTTCCTTTACCTCTGTAAGTACTTAGCAATCATTTTGATATAATCTATTTTTAAGTTGAGCACAGATACTTTATTACCAACATTTTTCTGCCTTTCTTTTTTCCTTGCTTTAGAAATTATATCAGGCTAAAAAAAAAGCTAACAAAAGACCATAACAATTCAGAAGCCTGTTTATGTTTATACTTCAGCACTGTTATGTTACTTGTGTTATTTCAAATTTTAGGGGATTGATTTTTTGCTATCAATTTTCTTTTTGAATAATGGCAGTCTTTAAATGTCAGCCGTTTTGTACAGTAAATTTGCCAGTATTTAAGAATAGAAATTTAGATTTGTTTTCATAAGTTTTTTTCTGAGGCTTTTATTTAATTACCTCCAGGTTTGGTTTTTTTTGTTTGGTTGGTTTTGTTTTTGGTTTTTTGTTCTTTGTTGTTTGCTTTTTTTTTTTTTCTTTTTTTTTTTTTTTTTTTTTTTTTTTTTTTTTTTTTTCCCTGTTAGTTTCTGGGGGTTTTTGTTTGTTTTTCTATTTTACGTTGGTTTTTTTTCCTGGAAGCTTTTTTAACCTGATATGTGATGAAGAATTTCACCTTAGTCCCCCCCCCCACCCCCAGCCTTGTCTTAAATGTGAATTCTTTAGTTTACCCTCTAGATGTTGCAGATTATTCAACTTAGCTAAAAACCAAACCAGTTCTATCATTCATTTGTTGAATCAATGACCTTAAGATGGGAGAGATTGCTCTATCTAGAGAAATAGATCCAAAGAAGTTGAAACTTCTAAATTGAAGATTTATGTGTCATATCACAGATGAAGGGCTTTCTTTTTGGATTATCTGATCTCTCTATATGTCATCTGCTACAGATGTCATCTCTCAGTATCTGTGTGAGTCCTGAGCATGGGAACGTCCAGAAGTTTGTGCACAGGCGAAAGATGTTTGATAACAGCCTCTTGAGGTTTCCAAAAACAGGAAATAAATTTCTTTTATTGAAGATCTTGAAAGAAGTTCCTGAAGTGAATGATATGTGTCCCATTTTAAACAATTAACTACTTGAAAAATTAGGAACAAAAAATTCAATTTTTTGTAAAAGATAGAGTTCACTAGAAAAGCCCTGCAGAAGTTTGTGCTGCCTAGTGTCTGAAAGGCAGTGGATGAAACCTGGTGAAGTTTTGCTGGTGGTGTGAAGCATCTTAAGGGCTACCTGAGAAAGGATGCAGAAGGACCTTTCAAGGTGATGCACTAGGAGGGAGAGTAAATTATTTAAACTTTGTAGAGAGTGGTGGACCCTGAGCAGACAGTTTCTTGTAAAGGTGGCATCTTGAAGAACACCAACAGTGAGTATAATTTTGACATATTTTTCCTCATCAGAGGAGAGTCAAAACACAAATGGAAGCAGAATAGAGAAAGATGTTAATAGTGATCAAACACATGGAATTGCTTCTGTGTGAAGAAATAATGATTGTTTAACCTTGACAAGATGAGCCTACTACGGGATGATCTAGGTCTGTGTGGTCATCAGCAGTATATGAAAAAGTTAGAGAACAGAATGACAAGAAATTATTATTTTCTCCGAAAACTGATAGATCATCCCGTAGTAGGCTCAAATTAAAAGTTATGCTCATTTAAGCTGTGAAATGCCATAGCAAAGGATGCAGGATGCTAAAAGCTAATGGTTTCAAAAAAATTAACAAACTAGTGAGCAAAATGTTGTTGAGAACTGGTAAATATAAGGTATTATCCCTGACTGAAGTGGTCCCTGAGTCAACTTCCTTAAACACCTCTCTCAGCTGATGAATCATTAGACTGATGGATTCAGATCCTGTTCCAATAGATTGACAGTGTTTATCTTGATGGCCTAAAAGCAATGCAGAATGCTTAATCACAAGCTCAAGTTCTGGCTGGCTTATTAATCATTCTTTGAAGGTTTGTTTACCTTTTAGCAAACAAGGAGTATGACATCTTTTAGGATACAGGTAGATGCACTTGCCATATTTGTTGTGCTGCTTGTTTGATCTTGGGGTTGCCTGCCATCGTGCTCCCAGTAGGTTTTTTTTGGGGGAATCCTCATTCATACTGAAGAAGAAATTCTCAGATTTTTCACATTTTCAACTGAAGTGGATGGGTGAGCTTCCTGGAAGTTTGTATGCTTCTTGATGAGTTTTGTTCTGGTTGTTCAGTAGCAATACTAAAGTTTTCCTCTGTCTTTCTTCAGCAGTTGAGGGTCACTGTGACAACTAGCTACTTTTATAGGGTTATTACCCTACTACTATAGGGTAATTTTTAGTATTTTGATGTAATTTCAAGTAAATGTTTGTATATAATTGAGTCAGAGATATACTTACTGAACTAGAAAACTTTGCACAAGGATGTGACATTGTGTATTTGCTTGAAGGACCCCTTGCCAAAAATAAAAAACATTCTAATTTTTTATGGTTTCATGTTGTTTACTTGCTAAAATATCTACTAGAAGCTATTTATGAAACATATATCAATAAACTATGTTTGGAAAGTAGTGTCTCTTAAATATGAAAAATTTTCAGCTTGCGTTTCCTTTTTCTACTTGTCCTTGAGTTATTTTTCCACTGGAAGTCTGAGAACAACACTTGGTGGTTAGAAGTTGCATGTTGAAGGTTGGTTAGGTTGCTGTAGGACACTGTATAAAATAATTTTAAGGTTTTTCTGCCACCCTGAAGTTAATTGTAGTTGCTCCTCAACACTGGTCTTCACCAGTTTGACTTTCTGGATGCTCAGTGTCTCTTCTGGTAACAATTTGACAGTAAAATGTTGCTTATGGAATTATGCTTTCAATAACTTTTTCTTTTGTGCACTCAGTTGTAATGGTAGTTAAGTGCTCTCGTTTCTTTATGCTTCACATTCATTTGGAAATACAGAATATTAAATACCTGCAGCTACTTCAGTGTTTCAAGCAATTGTCCCAAATGTTAGCTCTGTGTTCCTGTTCAACCCCTCAAGGTTAGAATTAGCTCTTGTTACAGGCAGTCAGTTGTCTGTTGAGTTGTTGCTGTCAGACATCAGGAAAGGTTGCTTGCATTGATATAACCAGTATTTAGGAAGTCTTTCATCTTCTGAAACTCTTGTACCTAATTTAAGTACATACACATTAAGCCAGCTTACTGTATGTCATTAAGTGATAGAGATGCTTGTAGTACCTTATGGTGGGATAGATTTACTCAGGCTGCTGCTAAACCTTCTGGGCAGTTTTTGTTTCAAGTTATTGGAGATCCCCCAAAGAAAGTGTTATGCTATATTTGTGATCACTTAATTGTTTTGCCTTGGTTTTTATATGAGGTACAGTCTAGGAGCTCTGTAAGCTGATGATCAGACCAGTAGGATTTACAGGCTCCTCACAAGCCTGTCACTGACTTGAGATTATGGGGAAAGCAGACTTGTAGTCCCCATGCATCAGCTCGTGTGATCATGCTCATACATTTCTCCATGATGTTTCTGAAGGACTGAAATATCTCATTTGGTAATGTTCTTGCTGAGATACTCCAAAATACGCACATCTGTCATAATTAGTATTTAATGTGGAAATTCCCTGGTTTTATAAGGGAGTTGTACAGTGAGTATATTTCATACTGAGATCCAAGGGTGTTAAGGATGCTTTGAAATCTACACCATTTCATTTGCAGGACATTTTCTACAGAAAACACTTAGTAAGCTGTTAGTGCCTTGGGACTTGCACAGCTACAAATAAACAAGCATGAAAAGACCAGTTGCTTCAAGCAGTGTTTTGTAGAAGTGACTTGTATGCTGAGGAAATACAACTGGTAATATATGTTTTGTTTCCTGTTTTTATGCCTAAGTGATTGCTTTATCTTATTTTATTTTTTTCAGCAGCACAGTGGAATGAAGTTTTCCATGAAAGGAACACATAACCAAGGCAACAGCTACAGCCCTGTTGGCAGTGGAGGCATGAGGCAACCAGTTGGTAACCGTGGACACCACCAGTACAATCGAAATATATGGAGAAGGAAAAAACACAGAGACAGCTTGCCTATTAGTCTGAGCAGATAATGGCAGATGCCAAAATGAACCTCCCCTGTTCAGACAAACTGAGTGAGTGCCACTCGACTTGAGGGATGGAGACCAGCGTCCAGCACATCGTTTTATTGGTGTTGCCAAATATCTGCAGCTGACTTCTTTGCATGTTTCTTTGTGTGGTGGTTCAGTCCATCTTCAAGAAGTAGTTGTGCTTATCTGTGAAGCCTTATTAAATGTGGAAGTTTGTTTTCTGCCTTCCCACAATGGTTCATTCAGTGCCGAAGCAGCTCTGACAATAGAACTGCAAGGACATTTACAAATGCTGTAGCTTTTTTTGCTGTGGCTATATCTGTTCCTTTTATTTTATTTTAGAAGTGAAGGAAACTTCTGCCCCTTGGAATTATATTTTTTTCTTCTTTGCAGCAAATCAAGTTGGGAAATCATAAAAGTGAATTTGCTGCTCTCCTGGTTTGCTTTTTTTTTTTTTTTTTTTTTTTTTTTTTTTTTTTTTTTTTTTTTTTTTTTTTTTTTTTTTTTTTTTTTTTTAAATATTGGAAGTATGATTTGTGCAATAAGTTGGAATTTTTAATTTAATTTCATATTATCACATAAGTTATATTTAAGGGGAAAAGGTTTTTTAATTTACAGATCCTTTCCCAGGTTGCATTATCTAAGTTGGGGTCATAGTTTTGGCAGGTTGTCTGAGCAGTTATAAACATGACATTTGGTAATATTTGAGGCTTCTTGATTCACAATGAAAGTACGATTTGGCTTACAGTTTTATGACTTTACTAAGCTCCAAAGCGTTTTGACCCTGTGTTTTTTGGCTCATTGTCTGGCCTCTATCAATTGTCTTGCTCTGACCAATGAGTTTTAATTTTCTTTAACTAGACAACAAATCGAACATTTGTAGTACCAGAAGTAAAACTTTTGAGAGGAATGGGAAAAAGGTTGGTTCAAGTCCTGATAAGAAATTAAAAAGCTGTGAACTACATGCTTTGATGCATTTTAGTAACATAACCTGTTAATGTTTGGGTTGAAACAACACTATTAAACAGAGGTACCCGGCTTAAGGAATGTGGAGAAAGGAAATATGTTGATTCCATTAAGGAATCTGTATAGTAGTATGCATTAGTTCTGTTAAGAGCAAATATATAAAAAGTACTTCAGCTGCTCTAAGCATTACAAGAAGTATCTTTTAATGTGTTGCAGGAGAGCACAGCCCAGTGTTGTACACAGTATGAGTGGCTGGCACTTAATTTACAGATGCATACAGGTATACTATGCAAGTGTGTATTGCCATGACAAACACTGTCTTTAACTTTTTGAAAAATGTACATCCTGCCTAACCCTGAGTTTTTAAAGCACCACAGTTGTCCTGGGAGTAGGTTACATCTCATGCCCTCTGACTTCCCTTTTTTAAGTGAGAGTTCTTAAGCTATACAGAAAACTACAGGTGAGTTATGTAAGTCCACTAGCAGAGAAAGCTGAAGAATTCTGTTAACAGGACATCTATACTGCGTACAGATATAGAAGGTTTTAAAACTGGTATCTGGATATTGAAATAAGTTGTCAAGCATGAAGCTTTTTAATATGCTGTATGCCTTTGAAGCAGAAGTAGTTCATGTTATTACTGAATCTGTCAAACACAAACAGGTCCTTGAGGGGAGAGAGGGCAACATTCCAAACTAGAGTAGTGCATATCTGTTTGCAGAAAGTTTGTCTTAATGCTCCAGACTCATCACAATAAAAAAGTTCTAAAAATTGTGAGCTGATTCATAAATAATATCTAAGGGCTGTTACATGAGCCTGTACTGCTTAGTCTTCACACACTAGCAATATTGAGCATAACTACATTAAAGAGCCGTTAGAGGCTTTAATTGGTGTCTTATACTAGTGTCCATTTTAAAGCAAAACTCATTTGAAAAGTGGTATCATGTAACACTTCAGTCATGGTGAACCAAATTAATTGGCCTGGCTATCACTGTGGTTATGTGCTACAGGTTTAAAAAAATGTTTAAATTTTTTGTGTGGACAACTATGTGGAAGCTAAAATTGACATATTTTTATGTAAAGTTTTCTATTCTTTGATATTTAATAAACTTTGGAGACCAGTCACTCTTCTTTACTTTTTTATGGGATACTTAATGGATGAAGGGACATTCATGTCCCATTCTTTGATGTACACTTTGAACATCTGCTTGAAATTGTTCATGCTGAGCACCTTCAGAATAACCTTGGAAGGTAGATGGGTGCCCTCAATTGATGGTGATGTTTTTCTAAAGGGAGTAATGAGCATGTATATTTCTTTTGCAGTTGTGAATTTGGTCCTTTGATAATGAGAAAGCAGAGGAGCTGGAGGCAGTGCCCACAGTATCCTCAAAAGGAGATCAACCGACTAATTCCTTGGGATGCCGTAACTTTTAATTAACTTTCTTTTTCTAGTCCCTCCCTGTAGTTTTAAAATTCCTTTCAAAACCTTCATCTAGGTTTCAGCCTCCTCAAAGATTGGATGTATCTTGTCTTTTTTGAGGGTTTTTTGACCCTCTGAAAGGGCTAATTAAAAATTTTACAAAATGAGTCTCTGGAAGGAACCATTGTATATATATATCTGTGAATGCTGAGAAAAGGAACTGAAGTGTTTTTAATATACAGTAGTGCAGGGCTAGGGATTGGCAATCAGGGAGGATATTTGGTCAATCTTAATGAGTATCTGCTGGAGAAAAGCAAAGTAGTGGGAAGGGAAAATAATAACCACTCACTAGTAGATGGGATAATAATGACTATTGTTTCTGTCAGTCAGCGAGTGGGACATGGCTGACAGCGGGATATATAATCTCCGCAGACACAAAGATTAAGTGCAGCAACATTGGTTTTGTAACTTCCTAGACTCCACCTTTCCCCTCCTTCTGTCCCAGATGATGGTTTTACTTTATTCCTCCCACAGATTCTGCTCAACTGTCTATCCTTGTTAGCAGTCTGTATTTAATGCATTGGCGTTCTCCCTTGAATCCTTGTTCTCTGATAAAAATACGAGAAATCCCCTTGATCCCAGCCCTAGTGACTATTTTGTACACTGTTCATAGGCAAAGCTAGTCATGGACTTGAAAAGAGGAAGGAAGAGGCTGCAAATTGAATAGAGGGATGGGACCCAGAGAGTCTATCATAGAGCTCAGTTGTGATCTATTCCTGTTTACAAGAGATGTTGATGCTGGTGTTGCATTGGACTTTCCCTGTAACTCCATCCCTGTGCACTGAGGCAGGGTAAGAAGACAGAAATGTGACAGCAAGTACCATGCTCCTGGTTCAGCATTGTTTCTTTCCATGGGAGCAGCCTCTTGCGAATGGACACAGCAATACTCAGAGTACCATTGGAAAACAGTGTGCCTTCAAGCAATGTGAGCTCTTCGTCATTTCTGATTCATAAGAAAAGCCTAAATTGTGAGCTAACAGGCAACTGATCACTCTGTGTGTGTGGGGAAGTAAATCTGTCAGCTTCTGTGCTCTCAAGGACAGGAAGCTGCCTACTTGCTGACTGCTGCCAGTATAGCCTGGTTATAAGTTTAGTAATACCTGATCTAAACCAAAGTTATGACCTGAATTCTTCATTTGAAAGACATGTCAGAGCTATCGAGTAGGTGGCTGCTCTTATGCACTTACACTGTTTTGAAGTGTTGTGGAAAGCAGATGTACCAAAAAAGGAGGATTTTGGAAGAGCCTTAGAAGCCTGAAAGGAAGTATCTTGGATAACAGAAAAATCTGTGAAGAAAAATACTAGAGAAAAAATACTAGAGGATGCCTCAGAACCTTAACTGATAGTGCCTGTCTAAAGCTCTGCTCATAGTTTTCAGTGTTGTGCTACTGCAAAAGTTTTGGCTTAGAGCTGCCTATGGCACTTGTAGCCTTAGGTTTCAAATCAATTAAGGATTCTCAAAAAAAGTATTTGCTTTTTTCATAATACCTTTCTATTGACAGATTGTTGCTTGAGTATAAAAAGAAATTATGAATGGTCCATATGCAGTGCATACTGATGATATGCATGGCTGTGTGTGAGGTCAGGAAAGACAAAGGGGGCAACTCATCCAACACCAGCTATTTTTCACTTATCCACCAAAATGTGACATGTTCTTCTGGTGAGAATTCTTAGGAAGCAGCAAGCTGCTTTCTGCTTGAGTAACTTAGGAGAGGTGAACAGTAAGTAGATTTATGGATTTACTAAGACATGGCTTCCAAATAAACACTTCACTCACTCATATTCAGACCTAAACCGAAACGATTTAGGAGCTTTGATTACAGGACTTTGTGTGTCACAGAATGAAAGGGATATTTAAACGAAGTCTATAACATCTGTGCTAAAATTGCCACTTTTTATTAGTGAAACTCCAACACTGATCCTCAATGGATGTTCTGTCGAGAAATTTTGTAAGAAAATTCCTTGCTTCATGCTCCTCCTGTCCAGAAAAGAAAAGCTGAATCTTTGCATGGGCTACATTCACTCCTTCAGGATCACCATTGGACACATCTGACTAATTTCTGGAGCCAAAATGAATAGATGCAATCTCACCCTTGTTAACATTTGCATGTCCAGGTTGTAAAAGTCACTTGGGTATTGATTACTAATTGTGGGTGAAATAATCTCTGTTCTCTTCAGGAAATCCCTTAGGAGACGTAAGAACAGAAAACAAGATCATTCTATCCGTCATTCATACATATATATGCAGTCTTCTGTAGATCAGCAGGGCAGTATTGAGGTTCCCAGCTGCAAGAGCAGGATTTGTTCTGTCCTCACAAAGGCCCTGAAGGGAGGCAAGGCAGCCCAGCAGGTTGTTTGCCCCTCAGATTAGAAGATAAGAGAGCAATTCTGTGCACGAGTTTTCTGACCTGTTCCTTGCACAGTGGTTGAACAAAATTATTTGCTGTTTTCCTCCCATTCCTCTGTTAAAAAGGAATAGTCAGGGAATGGAAGGTTATGGGAAATGTGCTGTGTGGGTGTGAGCATTAGTAATTATGAGTGGTTAAGCATTGGAATACAAGTGCTCTAGTCTGGTAGTAAGATTTGAAATTTTAAAAACCTGGCTGGACAAGGCCTCAGGTAAACCATTCCAATTTTAGTCAGTCCTGCTGGACCACTTCACCTCTGAAGGGCTTTTTCTAGTTAAATTTTTCTCTAATACCACAAAAAAATACAACATTTTGTTTTAATTTTACTTTCAGCTGGGTTTATGAAGTTTTTAATGGGAATATAAGTCAAGTAGGTATTGTTTTGTTTTTTGCTTTGTCCTGCACTAGTGAAAATATATCTACAAATTCTAGGACCAGTAGACTGAAACAGTGATTTCTGAAGTTGATAATCCCTGGAAATGAGTAGTCCCCAGTCAGAAATTACTGATCAAGAAATACAATTTTTTGTATCTTCTCTGTATTATGATGATTACTACAGGTAACAATTTTTGACTTCTCTGACT